TTCGAAAACGATCTTTTTAACAAAGAATCATTATTATAAATATATATAGATAAGGAAAAGGTTAAATATTGGGAATCAGAAAAAATCTCAGCAGAAAACTCACCGTTAGAAATATTTCATCATTTACAAACAATGTTCCATACAATAATGCATTATAAATTGTGGAAGAAACACTGTTTTACCGGGAAAAAATAAGAGAGTGAACGCGTTTTTTCCACCGTAAATAAACGGTAAACATCTGATAAATCACAATTAAATGTTGAGACTTTGAAAACCATATTATATGTGAAATATAATTTAACAAATTCTTGCGAAAAGTTTTATGACATTTTAAACAACGACAGCAATTTACTAAGAAAAATTCATTCAAATGAGAAATATGCGAAAGAATAAAGAATTTTTAATAATCTATAATAGTATGTATATTTATTATATTTAAAAATTTTACATATGTTGAAATTTAGAATAATATACTATAGTACAATACAATTTTTGCGTTCTTTGATGATAAAATTTTGTTGCTGTATAAAAATTTTTTCATCAATACAACCACTTCCCTCTGTTAATTTTGTCTCGCTTTACCAATGTTAAAATCTGGTCACTTTAACTTAATACTCTGTGCTAAATTGCAACTCCTGACATGTACTTCTTTAAGCTGGCGATTTCATAAACGATTTTATAAAGGAGGCATAGTCTTGTCAATAAAGTACTTGGATTTATAATATAAAAACAGTCGTCTTCGAGGAGTCGCATTTCGTCGCAGGCAAATTTCTGTCATTCTGCAAAAGATCAAAATTTAAATCATCGATTATCCCAGTAAAACATCATTTTGAATTTCTTAGAGAAAAAATCAATGGTCTACCTGAAGTGGGTAAACTTTGTTTTGCCAAACATTCGGTTTGGCAACTCTTCCATTACTAGAAAGAAATTCTCGTTTAATATTAAACAAAATATCTTATAAATTAACATAATTATCCATTCAATTTACATCTTCGTCTTTATCTTATCAGTCGAATTTCGCAAAAGAACTTCGTGAGTGCACTTAAGGGTTCCAATCAACAATCGCGACAATTGGAAAACAATAAATTAGAAACTTTTGTTGAAAAATTCATTATAATGACGTCCTAAAATGCTATATTAATATTATATGCTTTCAATATTAAGAATTTAAAATGTTAATCTGTGTTTTGTTTACAAATTTCGAAATAAAAAGAATAGGTGAAGAAGTCTCCTAACAAAATAGCTGCGGTTAAAGTCGATACAAATACTTTAACACTGTTGCTATTGAAATACATAAGTAGTATTTTAGCAAATTTTACAAATTCATCAGTTTCTTGTAAAATGGTGTTTTGAAACAAATGCGAATACTGGTGAAGAATATGATATCTTTCGCACAGATCGACCGGTGCAATAAAGTTAATCACGTTACTCTTACCGTACATAAAAATATACATAAAAGCTTTCCTATTTCTGCGGACACTTTTAGAACAAAGAGTGCGGAACGAAGAGTAAAAATTTAGCACATATTTTCTTTGCCTTTCCACTGTACATCATATTTTTTTCTTTGACAATAGCGTTGTTCGATGAATGACAATACATCTAACACCTTCCATTAGGAATGTTTTAAATTAAAATTACATCAGTTTGCGTCAGACGGTCTTGTATCGAGGTTTCGTGCCCCAATTCATTGCAGGTGTGATCTTCGATTTTATTTTTTTTAATTCCGTTCTCGAGATTAAGAAAAGACAGTCGGACAAACCAACGACACGTACTTTGTAAATATGTGTTAGTCTTATCAGTTAATAAAATAATTTATATATATTGTAATTACACAGAAATTTCAAAGAAAAAAAAAATGAATAACTACTCATTCTTCATTCCTCGAAAATTTATATTATCGTATTCTTAAGAAATATTCCTCTTTGAACATCACTCCATGAAGTTCTTTAGGCTGAATATCAATATCTTAAACAAGTGTACCGTCTTTGATAATTCTGCTATTTTGTGAAAAACACCAGCATAAAGAATAATAATAAGTAATGTTTTTAGTTCAGTTCGAAGATCAGATTTCAAAGAGGAAAATCTACTCTGCTATATCTTACCTAACACAAATCCAACTACTGTATTTTTGGACTTCTTATTGAAAGCCATTTGAAACACAACGGCACAAGTTACGAAGTTTAGTGTTTTCTTTACTGTATTCCCATTTTTAGAGCCATCACGGAATGCTGATCATTAAACAATTATACGTGAAGAGTTAAATTTTATGATAAAATACAAAATCAGAATGTTGTAGGAAGGACAAATTAGCTCTAATACGCTGTTCTACTAGAAAAGAACCACAAAAGAAAAAACGAAGCTTTATCTGCCTTAACACTTTATGGACTGAAATTTATTTTTTTGATAAAAATTTTGTATATTTTATCATCAGAAGGAAATTCTTTTGATAAAAGACTATCTATTTATTCATATATAAGTCTTCAATTCATATTAACTATTAAAATGTTAAACAAATTAATAAATCTATAAAGGACAATGTAGAAAATACAAATTTCTAACATTTACAAACAAGATTCTCTCACGCCTGATGGGACTTGTAAGTCCCAAACATATTTTGATCTCATACAGCTTGCATATTATTAATTCTGAAAACATAATACATTGAAATCAAACTACACATATCTAGAATATATACTAAAATATACAAAGACAATTAACTTATAAACCATAAGTAGAATTTGGCAACAAAAAAGCAATATAAGCTACTACCATTCAAACAACACACGATGTGAATCTTTTTTCAACGAAACTAAAACAATTTGTAAGTTAGTACCCTATAAAAGAGAAAAAGAACACTTTATACAATAAAAAAATGTAAGGCCTAGTAGGCTATAATTTATACACAATGAAATAAAGAATTTCAAAGATAGTGAGACTAGAAAGTCCCGTCAGGCAATAAAGGGTTATGAAGAAGTCTCAAATGCGGAAAGTATGTTGATGTATGCAACGATGCCGCGTACATTGAACATTCATTAAAGATTTATATGCCGTAAATATGGAAACATGTATAAATAAAATTCATTGGCATATGTTATTCAAAGGATTAATTTTAAAAATTCACAATAAAATTTACAATTTCTTAACGCCTTTTTATTCTTTCTTGTAGTAATTCTCTTTCTAATTAGCGTTATTTTATTTGTAGAGCTTTATCTTTTCTCTTGGCTCTAAAATCATGTTGTTTTTTTCTTCTTAAATCTTCTTTTTTCATAACACTTTTTTTACATTTATGTTTAGCATTTTTGATTTTATAAATCATTTCCATCTTTATTAATGTCTTAGCAAATACCTGTTAATTAATAGACATCATCCATTTATCGTCGCAATTTCCTGTTGCTCTCTTTTTGACTGATGGTAGAATAAGTCTTGCAAGAAAGGAAAAGCCGTCATAGTGCTAGTATAATTGAACACACGAATATACAAGAAGGGTATTGCCGAAAACTTCATACGTCACAGAACAGAAATTATGATAAATAACTGAGGTGAAAAGAGAAAAAAAATTTACAATGTATACAATCAATTCGACAATAGTTCGATGGGCAGAAAAAGAATTCCAAATAATCATTTCTCTTCGGATTTCACCAACCTATAAATAAGTAAAATGGCAAAGCGATATTTAGGGCAAAACTATGTGTAAGAGAATCACTACTAAGCGGGATCACTTTGACTTTCACGGCGGGTTTCGTTCTCATTCTCCAATTTTCTATGGCATCGCTGATTTTGAGCGCGATCGTTCAAACTTCGCCAGCCACGACCATGAGGCATTTTCGGTAAAATTAACCTATTTAATTTCGAAATTTGTTTCCGTTGCGTATTTGAATTTTTGTCGATTCCTAACGGAAATTTCCTGTTTTTGATAAAAAATAATCCTGGCTAATTCAAAGCATTTGGAAACAGAAACATAAAAGTTATTTAAATATTGTTGCAACGTCCGAAATTATTTTTTCTTATTTTCACAAGCAATATGTATATTAATAAATTTTCTTTTTACATCTATATTTAATAGGTGTAAAAAGAAAACAAACTATACTTCGGAGGTTAGTTTTAAAATAAAATTATAACGACTAAGGACATCTACTTTCAGAAACGTTCCCGTGATGAAACGAGATATTTCCGGTCACCCGGTCCAGGTCAGCACGTGGCGACCAGAGACATTTCGGGATTGACACGAGAGAGAAAAATGAGTTTCTTCAAAGATTCGTTTGTCAAAATTCGATGTAGCAACGTTTGCATTTTGAACTTCTCAACCAGCAACGCGTGCGCAAATCTCGCCACTTTGTATTTTATTTTGACACGGTTCTCGATCCCCCTAGTACCTACAAGAATGGTGTTTTTTATACAAGACTGTCTGATGCAAACCGAAAGTAAATTCAATTCAAAACTTTCCTATGGAAGGTGCTAGATGTATGACGCTATTGTCATTCATTGAACGACGCTATTGTCAAAGAAAAAAAATATGATGTACAGCGGAAAGGCAAAGAAAATATATGCTAAATTCCTACTCTTCGTTCCGTACTCTTTGTAATAAAAGTGTCCACAGAAATAGGAAGCTTTTATGTATATTTTTATGTACGGTAAGAGTAACGTAATTAACTATATTGCACCGGTCGATCTGTGCAAAAGATATCATATTCTTCACCAGTATTCGCATTTGTTTCAAAACACCGTTTTACAAGAAACTGTTGCATTTTTTATCTTTGCTAAGACACTACTTATGTACTTCAATAGCAACAGTGTTAAAGTATTTGTATCGATTTTAACCGCAGCAATTTGCTAGGAGACATCTTCACCTATTCTTTTTACCTCGAAATTTGTAAACAACACACAAATTAACATTTTAAATTCTTAATATTGAAAGCATTTAATATTAATATAGCATCCTAGGACGTCATTATAATGAATTTTTCAACAAAAGTTTCTAATTTATTGTTTTCCAATTGTGGCGATTGTTGATTGGAATGCTTAGCTGCGCTCGGAAAGTTCTTTTGCGAAATTCGACTGTAAGATGAAGACGAAGAGGTGAATTGAACGCATAATTATGTAAATTCATAAGATTTGTTTAATATTGAACGAGAATTTCTTTCTAGTAATAGAAGAGTTGCCAAACCAAATGTTCGGCAAAACAAAGTTTACCCACTTCAGGTAGACCATTGATTTTTCTCTAAGAAATTCAAAATGATCCTTTACTGGGATAATCGATACTTTTAATTTTGATCTTTTGCAGAATGACAGAAATTTGCCTGCGACGAAATGCGACTCCTCGAACATAGGCGAGTGACGGTCGCGAGCAAATAATGCGAAAATAGGAGGAAGGTCTATCGGATATTTAAGAAATTTATTCTATAAATTCTTGTTGTGTTGCTGCATTTCTGTCGAGATTTCTGATTCGGAGGTAAGTTTTCATTCTTTCTGTCTTTTCTCGATGAACAAATTGCGTATGTAATAAATTCTGTGATTTTGTAGACTAAAGAACCGGAAAAGAAACTCGCAGATATTAACTCCGAAGACGACTGTTTTTATATTATAAATCCAAGTACTTTATTGATAAGACTATGTCTTGTTTATAAAACCGTGACTTGCCAGCTTACAGGCATGAAGAAGTACATGTCAGGAGTTGCAATTTAGCACAGAGTATTAAGTTATAGTACCAAATTTTAACATTGGTAAAGCGAAAGAAAATTAACGGAAAGGAGTGATGAAAAAAAAAATTGTTCTACAGCAAGAAAATTTTATCATCAAATAACACAAAAATTGTATTGTACTGTATTATATTATTTCAAATTTCAACATATGTAAAATTTTTAAATANTCTTACATTGGGCACTCGGTATGTTAAACTCTTACGTAAGATAACCTTTGTACATCAAATACTATAATATAATATAGTGCAATGGTTAAGATTACAGAATAATCTGATAATCTTAATTTTTGCTGTTGACATTTTTTGCCCGAGCAACGCCAGGCTCATCTGCTAGTTATTAATAATATAAAAGTTATTTTTTTAAATAAAATCTCGTAACAGATGGATCAACACGCAAATGTTCTTAAACTTTTCGTTGGGAAAGTTACGCATCACGTTGCTGGTTGTCTCCTTTTGTTTTCTTTAAAAATAATATTCTGTATTCTTATTCACAGGTACTTGACGGAATTTGAAATACTTCAATCGAAAATGCCGAAGTCAAAAGTGAGAAATCTACAAATACGTCCGTATTCCGAAGATGAACACCCTGAAAAGTTAAAAAACTGGATTCCTTTGATGACAGTTATGGCTGTTTGGGGAATGAAATTTAATCACAAGAAATTCACTATTCACAGTAGTTTTGTTTTTACAATGGGTTCGATATATAACATCTATTATTTATTATTTTCAGTAATACATTACTACGAAAACTCTCAATTAATAATGTTTCTTACTTCATTGCATTTTTCTGTAGCAGGTGCAATTACTTTGTTTTCTTTTTACAACTTCCACCAAAATAAA